ACAATACCAGTCAAGACCTTCAGGCAGCATCTGATTGATCGATTGCTACGCTTTAGGTAACAACCATCTAATCAATCAATCATTTATTTTTGCTTAAATGACAGATTGTCTAAATATTTTTTCTGATACTGTCAATCTCGAGAATCGTGACATACGCGAGTTGCGACCACACAAGCGCTACTTGACAATAAATTACGAACGTCAACTGGACAATCGTAGAATACTAGTGTTATTAGACGTAGCTGTAAAAGTAACGTGTAATGAGCCACAGTAAATCTCAAATAAAATGTGAAACATTACGGAATTGTAAGATTGTGGGTCGGCTGGGCCGGCAGGAGGGCACTAGGTCGGGGGAAAGTAGTGGGGCTTTATGTACGCCTGCACGGTGCATGCCGACGCAATTACATCCACGGAATCCATGTTCATGTTGCGTCCCAGGCGAAATTGACACCTGAATAACCACTGCGGCTAACCAAAAGAAAAAGTTGTTCAGCATTTTTGCTGTCCATGTAAAAATAAACTGAAACTACTTAACTTTCTTTATGAACAGAAGCGATATTATGCGCATGTATTGCAAAGCCCTTTCGTATAATGTATACTTTTTGTGCTGACATCGCCATCATGCAAATATGGTCCGTTGTTCCACGAAGCGTCGCTACCTAACATGCATAATACATAATGCCTATAATTTACACCTTACATCAGCTCGTAACGTCAATTTAGAAATCACATGTGACACCAATAGCTTGCCTTGACAATAAACTTGTGTACTGACATTACCCCCGAGGGGAGGGCTATGGCTGACCTCTGCGGAGATAAGCCTCAGGATCATTATTCACAAAGTGCTTTACGCCGTCTTCCATCGATTTATTGAACATTTACTTTGCTTTTACCATCGTATCTAACAACATTAGAATCGGTTTGCAGTTTGTAAGTAACGGTGTCACTTAACTCATTCCTCTTTTATATGATATACGGTATGAGGGAAATTTTAGTGCTTTTATCTACATTCCTTTTGTTAGTACCGTTTGAATATTCGTATACAAGAAAAAAAAGAAAATATCAGGGAAATGTTTGTTAAAGAATTTTCCCACTATGCAACAAAATATTTTTACTTTATTTAGTGCGAACGTTTTTAATAAATAATTTCCATTTTAAAAGTCCATTGACCTCAAAGGTCTTTAACACTGTCAGTTGGATCTGTCTAAATATTATGATCTTCGACGAATCTTATAAACGTTTTTTTTGTGATGGACACCTGATACCACATCAAAACTGTGAAAATGTTAGTATCTACAAATAATGATCCCATTGGCCATTGCTTCTTAAAATCGATCAATCAATCAACAATGATTTATATAAACAAAACAACAAAGTGATTAATCTTATGAGAAGACATTAGTAAGAAGACGAAAAAACTGACAAGCACAGTCAAATCATGGCTAACCATACATTCAAGGATCTTCAATGAATGAAATAATAACGTCACTCAAATATGAAAAATGAAACATTTGTTCTACTTCACCGTTGTTCATTGAGACGTAAAACATGACTTGATATATGAATAAGCCTACAGAACATTTCTTGCCGAAAGAAACGAAGGTGAAAATATAATTGTATTTGCATGTAAGCGAGATGTAAAAAAAGATTCGAAAGTGACATTTCTGCTTTACAAAACGAGGAAAGTTTCAATTGGGAGTTCATTGTCAGAATAACGCTTTCTGACACTATACTTAAAACGCGATCAAAGTTAAGCTAACAGATTGTTGTAATTTCACTAATATCTACTATGTAATGAGTATAATGTATGTTTTAAGTGGGCCGATCGACGTTTTGGGCGGCGCGAGCGCATCCGGTCAAGGCCGCTTGCACTTGTTCGCAAAAAACGAGCAACTGGTTGTGTGCCCACGCATGCGGTTATCATACTCGCGTTTTTTGCGACCATATTCATATTTACGTCACCAGCAATGCGCGGCCCGTTGGTCGCTTGGTAACAGTAAGCTTTATTTATGAAGTTGTCAACTTAAGCCTCTTAACTTCTCTAAACACCAAACTTCTGTTATACACAAATTGATTTTATTTTTGTCAATTTGGCAAATCCTTTTAGATACACTGTAATTTTCTTTATTTATTCTAGTAGTAGATAAGTCATCAAACGCCGTTTTCAATTCATATTGCGAGCATTTGCATAATGACCACCTATGTCAGCCACCGAGTACACTTTGCGACTACTGCAAATAAAACAGCCATCATCATTAAGTGGCGTGTCGAGGCCTGTAGTTCAGTGCGGGCGCTTATGTGGCAGTGCGCAAAGTCAATGTCGCGGTCAAGGAAACTATACCCAAAAAGTAGGATTTTTTGTTTATCCGTTTTACAACCGTCTAACTCGACTTTACTGCTAAAAATATACAGTTCGCGTTGGTAAATCATATTTTTTCATTATCGCTAGTTCATGCAGACGGTGTTATTAAAATTTTAATAACGAGCATCCTGTGCCTGGTGACTTGTAAGAGTAACCTGTTTACGAACAAGTCTTAGAACGAGCAGATGTAGTTGCAACTTAGTTTTTTTGTTATTACCAAATGATTTATCCATAATTTACAAAATGTACACAAATTGCCAGGACTTTTTTGTTTTAATTAAACCTCGACTAAGTGCTTCCGGAGTCAAGAAAACGTCCTTGACGTTTTGTGGAATTAAATTGAATCACCAATTTTGGCTTGCTTTATTTGTTTTTGCTTAGTAATCATTTCTTACGAGTGTTATTGAACCATAGCCACAGTTGTAAGGAGGCAGCGATGATTGTCCCCCATTAAAAGTAAACCCACATTTGTATTTACAAGTTCTGGAGGATGAACGATCTACAGAGCAAGTTAATCGTTTATTGACTGCAGACTGACAGTCAATTAGCAGCCTATTACTAACTGAAAGAGGTTAACAACATACGAAGACATTTTGAAATACGTTTGTAACAAGTAGAGACGAAAACACGTCTATGCTGAATAAATTGGTTTCAAAATCATGTTTTTTATTCGAATTAATTAATCACCTCTGGTGGTACATTGTTGCTTGATTAATGTCTCGTCGGCGACAAGACGTTTCTGTCGCCAGGTCTCTACCAATGTATTTTTTACTGCACAAGTTTTTGCAACGCATCATCGAGTTTTTCAACCGATTCCATCTCTTTTACTATTTTTAATTCATCTTTGTCTTTATAAGCTTTTTGCAATCTCCAGCAAAAAGATTGCCGAAGCAATGGCACCACATCTAGAGACAGGTGAAGAGATTTCGGATTAACTTTTACTTTAGGACTTTTACTTTTTGTCCTGGTCATAAAGAAGCGAAATACAATTTGAAGTCCATTTTGTTGGCAAAAAATAGTAAAACAATAGCGGGGAGGGGCGAGTCTGGTATCTCACGCAAGTGCACATAATGGCCGAAGAGACCGACGTCTCCTTCTCGTAATTCTCCGGTAATGACGGTAATCATTTTATCATCTTCGTACCAATAACGTGCGTTTACCTAGTGCAATGGGGTTACGTCGGCAGGACCGTGCGAATAAATGATAGATGACAGTCCGTATGTAATTTAGTTATTACGAATACCTTGCCGGTATTATTTCACGATGTTGCGATGTTGCTGGACGCGCTTTGATACTTTGACGCAGTTAAGCCGATGCGTGAAATGTCAAATTGACGGGATCATCTGTGCAGGTTTTCATTTCCGCGTTCATTTTCTTTTTCATACAGCTTCAAGATCACGACTTTCAGTCGTTGTAAATCTCTGTCTACGTAAAGTACATACGTTCTTTTATTTATTTATTTCCTATATAACATCTACTTTTTATGAATTAAGTTATAAAGAATGAACATATTGCCCAAACAGAAATTTTATGTAAACTGAAGTTTGATGATAGTTTGCAAGAATTTTACACTTTTGCAAGAAAAGGTAATTGTACATTTTTTCGAATATTTTTTTACAAATGCATGTAGATTAATGATTGTCTGCTAAAACGCGATTGAAGCATTTATTCTACCTAAATAGTATAAACCAGTATGGCACATTAAATATAAGTGTACTGGTCGGTCCCTTAGTGTAACTAGTCATTAATTACTACTAAGAAGTATCTAGTTCACGGGACAATGAACATTAAGTGTCCAATTATGAATACACTTTTGTGAATAGTATTCAATCATAGTTATTAGGAAGGATTTCCTATAATTCATATCAAGTTATAATATAATTATAATTTAAACTTTATTACAAAAAAAGTGTAGTTCAAAATCTATTAAAGAATTTTTATTGTTTGAGATAGCTTGATGTGCCTGGTATCTCGACCACGGAAGGCAATATGTAGCTTTAATGTTCTAAAACCTCGTTCAATGTCCGCGGCCCAACAATTATGTTTTATGTGTGTTATCTGTATTAACAATCGATTTAATTTGTTATCTATGAACAATAAAACTTAATTAAATACATGTAACAAGCTCTGGTACCTCACGGCGGATAGGCGGCTATTAAATTGCGCGTACGCATATGTCGATTTCCATTTTCTGAGTGTTTTATCAGTTATCAGGAACTTGATTTCTTTCATCCTAGTTTTTTTAGTCTTTACTAATAAATATTTTAATAGAAATGTGTACCTTCCACTTCTATTTGCAACCAATATTACAAACTGCACCCTTAATGCATACCTAACGACTAATGACTACTGTTAATCTGCATATACATGATTGCAAATAAAATATTAATTCTGATTTACATATTGTGCATGTGCATATTATAAATGTTATTTATAACGTAGGAATATATCATATTTGAGTAAGGTATTCTGTATGAAGAAATGCAAATGAAATGGACCAGTTTAGATATAGCATGCCTCCTACCCTTTGCTCACTGCTAGTAATACAGCAAGCTACATTATCCCCATCCCGCTAGGGACGGCGCAGTCGTACAATATTTTCTCTTACGTACTAAAATCAAAATGTGTGTGAAAATACCTGAGTACAACGGCACGCTTCACTTTCTTCAAGTGTGTCACGAGTTAATGTTCAAGTGTTCACAAAACTGAACTGTGTCCGGGAACTATGCGAGCACTCGACCTGAACGGACGCACCGGCTAATGAATGGGAAGAACTAGAGACCGGCGCGATTGCGAGCCGGAGACGGGGCGCGTGCAGACAACACAGGGCACGCAGCCGACCAAGCGTCTCAAACGGAATGAAATGGTGAAGAAGACGCGACGGTCTTATATAGACGCGACCGTAACCTGACGCCGGATAACGGACTCCCGCCGACGGACGTGCCACTCGACTATAGATCGTTCTGCGCGCACGCAAGAGACACATTCGAACTCTAATCACAACCCTTCCCAATGTAACAGATAGATCGAATTTTCAATAAAGCGCCCCGAGCTTAACACTGCAATTTGCCAGCGTTGGCGCTCGAACCTAGGTACCCGCACCCAAACGAGACGACAGGACAACGGCACTCTAAATGGCATCAGGGAGTGGCATCGGTGCCAATCTATCCATCTACGAGGTGATTTTCTCGCGAAACCCTTGTTTAAGCTTTGCATAGACTTTATTACTTCAGTCATCACTATCTAGCACTAGACCAAATGTCTCTGTGGGTATTTTATATTATAACTTGAAATTACACAATTTTATCGCATTTTTCAAAATAAACACAGTTTTGTTACATATTATTATGCAATCAGAATAACAGTGAAAAACTGTAATAATCACTGTAGAAATATGTATTGTTCTGTCATGATAGAAATTAGATTTAGGTCACCATAAAAAATTCCATATTTTCATAACATATTTTTTATTATTTCTATCCCATTGGTATAATGCGTGTCTTGAAATTTTATTTATAATTAGTTAAAATTCCCATATAGATAAATGATACCATAATATTTATAACCTAAAAAAACTAACTGAAACCTGCTCTTATTTTAATGGCTACAAAATGATACAGTAATTATAATCAATTAATGAAACAGAAAAAAAAAGAAAAATATATATCTATAATTTTATTACGACGACCAAGCAGTGAGAACTTTTAAACCACGTTCTGAGACAATTTTACCTCAACCTCTTAAATAAATAAGTAGGTGTAACGTTTCTTTCTTTCTTTCTTCATTTGATTTCTTCAACAATAGTATAAATAACACAAAATAACCATATAACACTGCATCCATGTTTTAGCTGCGTAATCCATTCAGCAACTAAACATTCCCAATCGGATAACCGCAAAAATACTATTATATTGCAAACATGAATTGTAACAAAGGCAAAGCTCTAAAACATAACATTGTCTTACACGTACCTACACGTTATATTTTACATGGTTGCTTATGGGCAGACGTACTCCACGGTAGGCCACCTCATCCTTACTACCAGACGAGATACGGGCCAAACGTCGCCCCATTAAATATTAAAAAAAAACATGGATTAGCAAAAATCAGTTAACTTACTCCTGAATGTACGCCCACTGCTGTACTAAGTATTTTTTTTATACCACGATGGTAGCAAAAAAGCACACAGCCCACCTGATTGATGGTAAGCGGTTACCGTGGCATATGTACGCCTGCAACACTCGGGGCATTATGCGTCTTGCCAACCCTTAAGAAACCTATTCACTCCCCTCTTGAAGAACCCCATGTTGTAGCCCACTGGGTAAACCACGACAGGGAGTAAAGTACACCCAATTTTCACTATTCATGATGTCTATCAGCTCTAGATAAATAATAAGTAACATAATAATGTAACAAACCTTCATAGAGCAGATTTTGCCAACGCCAGATAAATTGTAACTGAAAAATAACTCCGAATATTTGGCAATTAACTGCCCTTAAGGGTCGATTTTTCAATCATCGGTTAATTCTTAACTGTAGAATAAAATTGATATTTAACAGTGGAAAAATTGATAAATATTCAAAATTATTCCTCTTATATAATTTATTTGGCGTTGGCCCTAAATCGGCCCTAAATTCTTTACATACTCCAAAAATTTGTAACGTTTCTACGTTATCCCTATGAAAACTGAAGACATTGAATATATAAAGGAAAACAATAAGAAATAGAGTAACTAAATAGAATCACTTAAACTCAACCTTCCTTAATCACATAGCCTCTTTTGCTTCAAGCTTTATAATTACTTACAAGGCCGACATAAAAATGTCCTAATTGCAAACAAACCTCTGTTCTATTACTTTCAATATACGGCATACAAGACAAGTTGCATGATATTACATCAAAACAGCAACCTGAACCATCAGTAATGTAATAATGCATGGAGCAATCACTAATCCGAGTATTAAACGTGTTTTTTATTATAGCCCAGGGCCATTTCTTGTGGTCTACATATGATAGTCAGATCTTCACCGGCTAAAAAGTGAATAAAAGAATGATATTTTCATTCAGTTTTTTCGTTTGTGTATTGGTACTAAAATAACGCTTCCAGGGATTCATTTGTGAGCTCTAAGTTATCGTGGGAGCAATTTAAATTGTACCATTGAGTATCTATTTTTGTATTAGTTACCTAGTTACTTTGTTGCCAATGTACATTTAGTGTACTTAGTTTAAGTGTGGGAGGACCATGCTTCGGCACGAATGGGCCGGCTCAACCTCGGCAGAATTATACCACGGCCTCACAGAAAACCGACGTGAAACAACGCTTGTGTTGTGTATCGTCGTGTGAGTAACTGGAGACCCAATTATTCCCTCCCCCTTCCCAAATCTCCTCAATCCCTGAATCCCTGACAATCCTCAAATTCCTAATCCCCAAAAGGCCTATAACGTACTTCTAACGCCTCTCATGTTCCGTATGTTCATGGGCGACACCAATTGCTTATAATCAGGTGATACATCTACTCAGTTACTGACTTATACAATAAAAAAAATATGATAGTAACTAGTCTGTATTTTGCATAAGGGCTTTAATTGTTACTGCAATATTCATACTATGTATATTACATACATTGTTTCAGATGCTTATTCATCTATATCTACTATAGAAAACATATTAAGTAATTATAGTGACAAAGTTATTTTACCCACGAAGATTTTCTAGTGGGTTCAGTGTCAATATTTTACGTAACTGCTATCGGAAGTCGATTAAACTGTCAAACACCAAGCGGTCACCGGTGACCGCAGCCTATTGTTCTATAATTGTGTCTATAATGACGGTACTCGACGAGTTAATTTACATACTTTTAATATATCCTGAGTGTAATAAATACTTTCTAAAATCTAAAATCGGTCGAAGAACTAGTCTAGTTATGTTTACAGGTTCCCGTCATCGAAAAAATCGAGCAAAAGGTGGCATGTTAGTGACATCAGTAAAATTAGCAGCATTAATAAATCAGTAGAAATTACACCCGTGCGAAGCAGGGGCGGCGACGATTTAATTAATTTATAATTATGTGGTTTTGTATTATCACAAAGTTATTCCTTTTCATTTAGGAAACATTTTTATTCTAAGAATATTACTTGGTTTAACTACGCAAACAAGCCTACGTGTCGAGTTAAAAGTTCAGATTTCTATATACTTTTTTTAAAGTCATACTTAGCATATAAACGACTCTTGCGCTCAATTTTTCTAAAGAACTCTCCTCCAGGCGTGCGAACCATGACTCAACGCAGTAAATCTTTGAAGATTTCTTATCATTTATTATAAATATACTCTGATGAAAAAACTAAATAGAACTCGAACACACATAACATAAAATAAACTTTGCCTTGATAGATATTACTGTTTCTTAAATTACAAACGGTTTGTAATCGCATCTATCTCTGCAGATGGAAAGATAAACCCGCCGCTGTGTAGGCATTGTAATACCTAAACATTATGATAGATCAAATAATACATTACTGAAATTACTACATTGCAATCATCAACCGTCCGACAATAAATTGAAAAGAACTTTCATTTTTCGATCAAAATTTCGAATCAATAACAATTCTTTTATCCAAAATCGAGGTCTTCTTCAAGATGCACGTACAAAATTGGAAGTAATAAAAACTTATAAAACGATGGCGTCTTTTAACGCATAGTTATCATTTAATCGTTTTTTGCAAATAAAAACAAATGTTTATGTACAGGCGCCGTTTTTAATCTCACTTCCTGCGGTTTCCCAAAGGAGGATTTAAGGCCAGCGTTGAAGTTGGCACAGCAGTGAAAGTTAATGTTGATACGCATTGGCTCCCTCATTATCTGCGCGATGAAAATCTTAAATTACACCGCACATGCCATGTTTTGATCTATTTTTGTTTGTGTAAGATTCAATTACTCGACTCCTAATGACGTACACCGCCGTAGGCCTCGGATAAGAAAATAACATCTTGTCTCTGCTGCCGTATAATGAGTGCGCTCCACGGCTAAAGAAAACAATTATCTGCATGATGAGAACTTGTATGTATTTAGTATTTTATTACTTTATTAATTTAATCCCATATTACATGTCAAAAGTTAAATACATTGCAAATTGTGAAGCAAAAGCAACACAAAGCTCATGTTTATAGTCCGCGAGACTTGACGACTGAAGTTTATAGAGATGATGAATTATTGATGCAAAACAGAACAGCAGATTAAATAATAATTAAGTTAAAACCAATTGATAAATGCGCACAAATTAACCATACTTAATTATAGATAGGCTGTGTAGTAAGGTAGTTCGAGCGAAACGGATTCAATAATAGAAAAGAAGAGGGAAGAAATCAGAACATTTAAACTTTTTATTGTAAATAAAATCTCACACGCTTTCAATATTTCAACTAAGAAGCTTTTATCGAGTTAAATTCAACATATTCTTTCCTATTGCTAGTTCAAAACCAACCAAGGCAACGGATTTGTTGCATTTCAACCTAACAACAAAAATTCCTTAACATATCGAAGATGCACATAATAATAATATTGTTCAAAATTACAACAGTCATACAGAATGGTTCAATCAAACACAGTAAAGCAATGAATGGTGTCATGGGAGCAATTTTCCGAATGGTTTTAATGCACTTAATGTGGGTTATCGTGCTAATGTGGAGCACTTAATCTATTACGCCACGATCTCACATTAGAGCGTATGTCAGGAAAGCCATGATGATCATGGTGGCGCGATGAGGCTTCTTATTCAGTTTTTACTCACGTTGGACAGTTGTTCCAAGTAGTTAGGCAATGGGTGCACCAACAAAATGGTTTCTGGGTTTACATC